ATTTGATCTGCTGACCTTTGTTTGGCAACTGAACTCTTAACCACTGCTCTGCCAGACTCCTATCAATATCACGCACAAGTAAAATTTTGTTGAAGATCATTCAAAAGCAGTGGCAGCAGTACATTGACAAGGAACTACCAGGAATTCAAGCTGGACTCAGGAGAGGACATAAACAAGGGATATCATTGCTGATGTCAGATGGATCTTGGCTGAAAACAGAGAATACCAGAAAGATGTTTATCTATGTTTTATTGACTATGCAACGGTATTAGATTGTGTGAATCATAACAAATTATGGATAACATTGTTAAGGAAGAGAATTCCAGAACACTTAATTGTGCTCATGAGGAACCTTTACTCAGACAAAGAGGTAGTCATTCCAACAGAACAAGGGGATACTATGTAGTTTAAAGTCAAGAAAAGTGTGTGTCAGGGTTGTATCCTTTAACCATACTTATGCAATCTGTATGCTGAGCAAATAATCAGAGAAACTGGACTATATGAAGAAGAACAAGACATCAGGATTGGAGGAAGACTAACAACCTGCATTATGCACATGATACAACATTCCTTGCTGAAAATGAAGAGGACTGGAAGCACTTACGGAAGAAGATCAAATACTACAGCCTTCACTATGGATTACACTTCAACATAAAGAAAACAAAAATCCTCACGACTGGACCAATAAGCAACATCATGATAAATGGAGAAAAGATTGAAGTTGTCAAAGATTTCATTTTACTTGAATCCACAATCGTTGCTCCTGGAAGCAGCAGTCAGGAAATCAAATGACATACTGCTTTGGCCAAATCTGTTGCAAAAGACCTCTTTAAAGTGTTAAAAAATAAAGAAGTCACCTTGAAGACTAAGGTGTGCCTGATCCAAACCAAGATATTTTCAGTCACCTCATATGCATGTGAACGATGGACAATGAATAAGGAAGACTGAAGAAGAAATTATGTATTTGAATTATAATGTTGGTGAAGAATATTGACTACACCATGGACTTCCAGAAGAATTAATAAATATGTCCTGGAATAAGTACAGCCAGAATGCTCCTTAGAAGCAAGGACGGTGAATCTTTTTCTCCTTTACTTTGGACATGTTGTCAGGAGGACCAGTCCCTGGAGAAGAACATCATGCTTTGTAAAGTAGAGGGTCAGGGAAAAAGAGGAAGATCCTCAGTGAGATGGACTGACACAGTGGCTGCAACAATGGGCTCAAATATGCCAATAATTTCAAAGATGGTACAGGACCTGGTAGTATTTAAATCTGTTGTACATAAGTCGCTATGAGTTGGAACCGACTTGACACCACCTAACAACATTAACATGTCTGGGCTCTCTTTTAAGGTCCAATGATCTATGTGTCTGTTTTTTCACTAGTACCAAGGTGTCTTGATTACTGTATCTTTACAGTAAATATTGAAATTGGGTAGTGAGTCATCCAACTTTGCTTTTCATCTTCAATATTTTGTTAGTTATTCTTGACTTTTGCCTTTTCATATAATCCTCAGAATCAGTTTTTGGACATCTGCAAAGTAGCTTACTGGGATTTTGATTGGGATTGCATTGACTCTATAGATTAATTTTGGAATAATTGAAATCTCAACAATATTGAATCTTCCTATCTATGAACATGGAATATTTCTTCATTTATTTAGAGCTTCTTTGGTTTCTTTCATCACAGTTTTCTAGTTTTCCACATACAAATTCTGTGTATATCTTGTTACGTGTATAACTAAATTTTGGGACGTGCTATTTTAAATGGTATTTAATATACATATATATATATTTCAAATTACAATGCTAATTGATGATATATAGAAAAGCAATACACTTAAGTATGTTAACCTTGTGTCCTGCTGTGAGGATATATGCCATTTAAACATGGCTGCGCTATTGACAACTGCAGCCCCCACAGGCCTCTATGCTGCACAGCATGTTGAGACTTGTCTCCAACATGTCGAGACTTGTCTGGATGTGTTTTCCCAAACCTATTGTCCCTTTACTGATTGACTTGTTTACCTGAATTCCTTCTCCCTTGCCCACACCCAAAGCCCATTGTTTTGTTAATTGCCTTATTGATTGCTGTATTGACTATAAAATAAACTCCTGGGACTGAAGTGGGGGTCGACTCCCAGAGTGACCCTCCTGGCCCCACTTCTCTGTAAGAGTTGTGCAGTTGGTTACTGTCTTCGCCGTCCCGATTACCGTCGCCGCTGCGACATCCTGCGACCTTGCTATACTTGTTTATTAGTTCCAGGACATTTTGCTGTTGTTATTGAGTCTTTGGAATATTCTACATAAAGAATCATGTCATCATCAAAGGCAGTTTTATTTCTTCCTAATGTGTGTGACTTTTTTATATCTTGCCTTATTATTTTTATACATTGTTGGATCAAATTAGCTAATATTTTATTGAGGATATCTGCATCTGTGTTGATTATAGAAATTGGTTTTCAGTGTTCCTTCCCTAAAAGTTTTTATCTGATTTTGGTTTTACGGCAATGTGGTCCTACTAAAAAGTGTTGGGTGGTGAATTGATAACATTTCTTCCATAAAGACTTGATAGAATTCACAAGTGAAACCATCTGTGCAAATTTCTTTATTTTTAGGACGGTTATTAATTATTAATTTGATTTATTTAATAGAAATGTATTCAGATTATATATTCTCTTATATTAGTTTTGGTTATTTGTGTCTTTCAAGGAATTAGTCCCTCTTATATAAGTCATCAAATTTTTGAGCATAGAGCTGTTCATTGTATTCCTTTATATTCCTTTCAGCTCCATATGGTCAGAAGTGATGATTTTTCTCCCATTTCTAACAGTTGTCATGTTTTTTGTTTGTTTTTCTTTGTTTGACTGGCTATAGGATTATCATTTTATTTTTAAAAATACTTTATTACATGGCTTCATTTTGCATTATTGGGAAGTGAGTGAAATCAACAAATTTACTCAAAATCATTTCACTGTCTACTTTCTTGAAGAATACATTAATAGTAAATGCACAAGAAATCTCTTGCATTAAAATCATAGTAGGTTGCTAGCATTACTACCTTTAAGCACTGGGAAATTTCCTCCAATTACAGTGTCATTATGGTCCATGAAACTTTAGAAAGTATTTTCTTTTAAATTTTATTGTGAAATATATATAACATAATATTACCAGTTAACAGATTTTAAGCGCCTATTCAATGTCATTAATTATATTCACTGGAGACAAAATTGGAGCTGTTGATGATTTCATTCTATTAGAAGAGCAATCTATATCCATAGAAGCAGCAGTAAAGAAATCAAATGACATATTGCATTGGGCAAATATGCTGCAGAAGACCATTTCAGAGTTTTAAAAAGCAAAAGATATCACATTAATGATTAAAATGTGCCTGACCTAAGCCATGGTCTTTTCAATTATGTAATATGAATGCAAAATCTAGACAATTAAAAATGAAAACAGAAGAATTGATACATCCTAATTGTTATATTGGCAAAGAATATTGAATATACTGTGGTCTTCCAGAAAAATGAACAAGTCTGTCTTAGAAGACATAAAAACAAAATGCCCCTTAGAAGTGAAGGTGATGAAACTTTTGATGACTTCGTTTGGACACATCATCAGGAAAGACCAATCACTAGAAAAGCACATCATATTTGGTAAAGTAGATAGTCATAAAAAACAAGGAAATCCATCAATGTCATGGATTGACAAAATAGCCACAACAATGGGCTCAAACATGCCAACAATGGTAAAGATGGTTGTGGATTTGGCAATGTTTCCTTCTATTATACATAATGTCAAAATAAGTTGGAGCAGACTGGAAAACAACTAACACCAACAAATTCCATTTTAGAATACCAGCCCATACACAGAGAGGTGCATGCAAAGTTCTGTTTATAATCATGAAATCTTCTGCTCCACATAAGACATGGGCCCTGCAGAATTGATCCAAATCTCCCAATGTTGGTATTTTAGTGATTCTGGCAATTCTAGTTTAAAAGAAACACACAGATTAATTGTTGCCACTTCTTGAGGGGCTGGGTGGAAGGGAGACTGACTGATTAATTTGTTCAGAATTTCCATTTAGGGTGATGAGAATGTCTTGGAACCAAATAGAGTTGATAGTTGTACAACACCGTGAATGTACTAAATGCTACCAAGTTGTACACTTTAAAGTGATAATTTTATGTTAACTTTACTTCAATTTTAAATCGGGGAAACACACAAAGGATTCACTGGTTGGAAAAGGCCGGTGTTATGGATTGAATTGTGCCTCCTAAAATATGTGTTGGAATCTTAACCAGTATATCTGTGAACGTAATCTGATCTGGGAATAAGGTTTTCATTGTTACGTTAATGGTGCCATATCAGTATATGGTGCGTGTTAAACCTAATAACTTTTGAGATATAAAAGGTACAGATAAGACAGAGACAAGAAAGCACAAATGGGGGAAAGATAGATGCCACCTTGAGATCACCAAGGAATTTAGGAACACTGAGATTTTAGAATCTGAAACAAGTATCATCCCCCAGAGTCAACAGAGACAGAACCATCCCCTAGAGCTAGTGTCTTGAATTTGAACTTCTAGCCTCCTGAACTTTGAGAAAATAAACTTCTATTCTTTAAAACTACCCATTTGTGGTATTATCTGATAGCAACATTAAGAAATTAAGACAACATGTATGGAAAGTCTCTTTTCTGAAAAACAGAGACACAGTTATCAAAGTTAATGACAATCTAAAAAAAAAAATCCTTGTTTTTCCTCCATCATAACAGGAACTGTTTTAAAAGTCATCATTTTTGAGGTAGCAAGGGACAGATGATTGTATGTACACTCCACTATAGGCTGTGAAAAAGCATATATTATTTTTTCTTTGTTTAAAGTTAAGGGAAGATAGTACAGTTCCTAAAATTGTGAATAGTTTCCTCTAAACTGTTGCTGAGCAGTTGGAACAAAACCAACTCAAGGCAAAGCAGGGAATTCCATCTTTGCTCACCTCTGCACCTGTTCCTTGTTCTGGGGCCCGTGCTCTGTGGTCTTGTGCACCCACTGGTCGTCCTGAGAGCCCACTGCAGCCCAGCCCTTCCTGCTCCTTTGTAGGAAGGTTTGAGTCTGGGCTCACACTGACTTCCTCTAACTGATTCTCTTGAACAGTAATATATGGCCATGTCCTTGGCAGCCACTAAGGCCAGTTGCATGGAGAACTGGTTCTTGGATGTGTCTGGGTTGATGACTAGTCGGCCTTTGAGAGATTACCCATAATCTCTGTACCACCCAGACGTGAAGTACGTCCTTTCCATCCACTCAAGGCCTTTCCATGGGGCCTGCCTGATCCAGTCCCAAGTAGGAGTGATGCTACTGACAGAGTCACCAGCGATGGTGCAGGTAAGGGCGAGGGTCTCTGAAGTCCTCACCACCTGAGGGCCAGACTCCTGCAGCTGCATCTGGGACAGGACACCTGGGGACAAAAGGAAAACTGCAATTTAAACACCCTGTATCTGTGTGAATCCTGTGACTCTTTTGGTCTCCCTGACACTGACCCGATGGAAGATGGAAGATGATGATGAAGGAGGCCAACATTTTTGGAGAGAGGTTGCATGGGCTCAGCATGCTCTGGAGTCCCATGGTGGGGAGTTGCATTTAAACAAGAAGCCACACCTGACATTTGCTTGTTAACAGCACTGCCTATATAAGGGCTGGGGACTGTGAACAGCTCATGGCCCACAAGGACCAGAGCACAACAAGGGGATTTCTCCAGAGCTAGTTCCTGCAACAGGTGGAACTGTGATAGGTGGCAGATGTGGAGATGATGGAACCCACAGGTATGGGATTGAGTTTGGAGCCTACCCAGATTCCAGATTTTTCAGTCTTATTTTAGTCACCAAGTCCTAGTGTAAGTGTACTGATTAATTAGATCTAATCCTTCCTTCTTTCATTCATTTACAAATTCTGACAGCTGTTCTCCAGCAGGACCTTATCTGCGTTGAGTACATCTCAGTGAATAAAATAGCCCAAACTATCCCTGCCCACGTGTGGTCTACTTTCTAGGGTAGTATGAGTCAGAGTGCACATCATCCTCCACCCCCACCTCCAGGCAGGTAAGGAAGCTGTTAGGCCAAAGGGGTTTAAGTTAACATCTTCGACTTGAAAAGCACATATAACAAAAGGGAAATAAGCATGGGTTTGTGTGATATTCAAGGTGAGTGGGGCGTAATCAAGCTGAATGAGGAATGCTATGATCTTTTGCATAGGGAAGATCATTCTACAGAGAAGCTGTGCATGAGCTGCTGTAAAAACAAAACACTAAAGATAGTGAAAAAGGTACAAGTGGGGGTGAGTGGATTCAATAGAAGCTCTTCCTTATAAATGTCCCCAGGTCCAAATTATTCCTCTGAAAAAAAGCAATAAGCAATAACTGATGGCTAATGAGAAATGTTCAGTCTTCTCTACAGACAGGCTATGACTTAGCAGATGGAAATTTTTGTTTAGTTAAACTTTTCCCACACATACATGTAGTTGCAATAAGTCTGTTCTGGTGCCTTACAGCCTGGGCTCTTGCTAGTCACATCCTCATGCCTGTCATCCATGGGGCATATAATTTTTCCCTCTGGTCTTCAGGATACAATGATCTGTCTCCACCACATGGGCTGTCTTCAAGGAGATGGGATTGTGTGCAGTAAAGGTTGAAAGTAGGGCTAAATATTATGTGCTTCTTTGACATCTAGTGAAACTAGGAAACTATCAAATGCCTAATAGTAAGTTCATCTACTCACTCATGTGAATAAGTTTCCCTAGCAAAGAATCTTTCTTACAGGGGACCAGGAGAGGTTCCTGTTTATCCCTGAGTAGCAGGTTTCGGATCCATGCCTTTTATCCTTTAGATTGTGTGTCAACTTGGCTGAGCCATGATTCTCAGTGTTTATATGTGATCACTCCCATGATTGAATATGCTGTGAGTAGCCAATCAGTGAAATGGGAGTTTCCCTAGGGGTGTGGCCTGCATCTGAATATAAGCAGACGTTCTGGCTTTTTACTTGCTCTGGATCCTATGGCTGCCTCCTGTTGACCTGACCTCCAGTTCATGGGACTTGAGCTGTCAGCTTATCTGCCGAACTTGGGATTCGTCATTCTTCACAGCCTATGAGCAGAGCCCTGCTCTCTGAGCTGCCGATCTTGGGTTTGCCAGCCCCTGCAGCTACGTGAACCAGGAGAAACCTTATGGTCTTGCCTGCTGATCTTGGAATTTGTCAATCTTTGCAGCGTGTGAGCGGGAGCCCTGATCTCCAACCTGCCAATCATGGGCTTGCCAGCTTCTGTGGCTGTGTGAATTGAGGGAGGCCTCTACCCTGATCCAAGGACTTGGGATGTTCTAGCCTCTACAGTTGTGTGAGCTGTTTCCTTAATATAAATCTGTATATATATTTATATGCTTACTGGTTTTGCTTCTCTAGAGAACCCAGCCTAAGACTATCCATCTTTGCAGAATTATGCAAACAAGCCAACCACATACTCCCCTGGGAACTTGGGTCACTTCACTCTCTTGCTACTACAAAATCTGTCTCCATGCACTTTTACTTCAGATTTGTATTATTATTATTTTTTTTTATTCTTTAGAAGTTCTAACTGGACCTATGTCTATCTTACATTTCTCCTCTCATTAATTTTATGTTTTCCTCTCCTGTTTTGTAAGATGGAACATATTTGTAATAGCCCTTTTAACAGTCCTGGTTTCTAATATCATCATCGTTGTTATTCTGGTGTCTGTTTCTAGTGACTGATGTTTTAAAAAATATAATTAAAAGTTATAGGACATGTTTTCCTTCTTCCTTTTATGCATATTGAGAGATTATTTTATCAGAAATGGGTGTTGAATTTGTCAAATGCATTTTCTGCATCAATTGAGACGATCATGTGATTCTTTTCTTTCTTTTTATTCATGTGGTGGATTACATTAATTGATTTTCTAATGTTGAACCTTACTTGCATACCTGGTATGAATCCTACTTGGTTGTGGTGTATTATTTTTTTGATATGATGCTGAATTCTGTTGGCTAGAATTTTGTTGACAATGTTTGCATCTATATTCGTGAGAGATATTGGTCTGTAATGTTCTTTTTTTTTTTGTGATATCTTTGCCTGGTTTTGGTATCAGGGTTATGCTGGCTTCATAGAATGAATTTGGAAATGTCACTTCCTTTTCTGTGTTCTGAAATAGTTTGAGTAGTATTGGTGTAAGCTCTTCTCTGAATGTTTGGAAGAATTCTCCAGTGAAGCCTTCTGGGCCAGGACTTTTTTGTTGTTGAGATTTTTTTTTTTTTTAACATTTTCAATCTCTTGTTATGGATCTGTTCAGATTTTCAACATCATTTTATGTTAGTTTGGGTGGGTAGTGTGTTTCTAGAAATGTTTCCATTTCTTCTACATTTTCAAATTTGTTGGAGTATAGTTTTTCATAATACTCTGCTATGATCCTTTTTATTTCATTTGGCTCTGTTGTAATGTCCCTCATTTCATTTCTTATTTGGGTTATTTGCTTCCTCCCCTGTTTTTTGTTTCTCAGTTTGCCAGTGCTTTGTCGATTTTGTTGATATTTTTAAAGAACCAACTTTTGATTTTGTTGATTCTATCTATTGTTTTTCTATTCTCTATGTCATTTATTTCTCCTTTGATCTCTATTGTTTCCTTTCTTCTGGTGGCTGTGTGCCTTTTTTGATGTTCTCTTTCTATTTGTTCAAATTATATAGCTAATGTTTTCTTTTCATCCCTTTCTTCTTATTAGATATATGCATCTATTGCTATAAATTGTCCTCTGAGGACTGCCTTTGCTGTGTCCCAAAGGTTTTGGTATGATGTGTTTTCATTCTTATTTGATTCTAGGAATTTTTTTATTCCATCTCTGATTTCTTCTGTTACCCAGTGGTACTTAAGCAGGATGTTATTCAATTTCCATGTAATTGAATTTTTTTTTCCTTGCTCTTCCTGTTGTTAATTTCTACCATGATGGTGTTGTTATCAGAGAAGCTACTTCGTATTATCTCAGTGTTTTCGATTTTGTTCAGGGTTGCTTTGTGGCCTAAGATGTGGTATATTCTGGGGAAATGTTCCATTTGTGTTAGAAAAGAATGTGTACTTTGCTGCTGTTGGGTTGAGTGTTCTACATATGTCTGTGACATCAACTTGGCTGATTGTGCAATTTAGCTCTTCTATGTCTTTGTTGAGTTTCTTTCTAGAAGTTCTGTCCTTTTCTGAGATTGGTATGTTGAAGTTTCTTACTATTATTGTGGAAATGTCAGTTTCTCTTTTCAGGGCTGTTATAGTATGTATTTTGGAGTTCTGTCATTGGGTGTGTAGATGTTTATTACCGTTATGTCTTTATGATGGATCCTGCCTTTAATCATTATATAGTCCCCTTCTTTATCTTTTGTGGTGGATTTTGTATTAAAGTCAATTTGATCTGAGATTAGTATTGCCACTCCTGCTCTTTTTTGGTAGCTATTTGCTTAATATACATTTTTCCATCCTTTGATTTTTAATAAATTTATGTTTTTGTTTCTAAAGTGTGTCTCTTGTAGACAGCATATTGTTGGATCATTTTTTTTTAATCCATTTTGTCACTTTATGTCTCTTTATGGGTGCATTTTGGCCATTTACATTCAGTGTAATTACTGATAGGTGTGAGTTTATTGCAGTCATTTTTTAGTGCTTTTTTTTGTGGTGCTGACAATTTCTTTGTCCTCTTATTCTCCTGTGTTGAATTCCTTTTGGTTGAAGTTTTTTTTTTTTTCATTTCTTTTGTATTTATCGATTTTGTTTTCACTGAGACTTTATGTTTTTCTTCTTTATTTTGATGAATAGTTTGTTAAATTTCTTTGTGGTTTTCTTGAAATTTACCCGTATCTTCTTAGGTTTGAACCAGTCTATTATTACTTGACATCACCTTGCCTTTCTTTCCATTACAAAGTTCTGATATTGGGGAAGTTTTCTGTCAGCTGTTCTTCAATGATCTTCTCTGTGTTTTCTGTTTTCTCCCCTTGTTCTGGAACTCCAATCACTCGAAAATTTTTGCTTTTGATTGTATCCCACATAATTCTCAGGGTCTCTTCATTTTTCTTTGTTCTTTTTTCTGAGTTTTCCTCAGAGCTGTATACAAGTGTTTGTCTTCAATTCCACTGATCCTGTCTTCCACCATTTGAAATCTTCTCCTCAGCCCTTCTATGATTCTTTCCATTTCTGAAAGGTTGTTGTTTATCTTTTGGATTTCTAATTGTTGTTTTTGTAAAATTTCTAGTTTGAATTTATTTTGGTATTTTGTTTCTGCATTATTTTCCTGAATTCTTTCATTTTTTGTCTGTATTTTCCGTGAGTTTGTCTGCCTTTTCCATGAAATCGTCTATTTTTTTTCCTCTTTTTTCTCTTTGTGCTTCAACTGTTGGATAATTCTGAATTTTAGAGACTTGAGTTCCCTGTTAGGTAATTCTACTGTCTTCTACTGGAAAGTCATCTGGTGTTTTATTTTGGACTTCTACTGGAGCCATCCTGTCCTGTTTTTGTAAATGTTTTGATATTGTCTGCTGTCTTTGGAGGATTCAGTAGTTATTTTTCTCATTTATTGATTGTAGATTTGT